CCAGCTGGTACTTACTTTATTTATTTTTTATTTTATTTTATTTTATTGAGATGGAGTCTTACTCTGTTCCCCAGACTGGAGTGCAGTGGCATAATCTTGGCTCACTGCAAACTCTGCCTCCCGGGTTCAAGCAATTCTCCTGCCTCAGCCTCCTGAGTAGTTGGGATTATAGGCACCCCACCACGCCCAGCTAATTTTTATATTTTTAGTAGAGACAGGGTTTCACCATGTTGGCCAGGCTGGTCTCAAACTCCTGACCTCAGGTGATCTGCCCACTTCAGCATCCCAAAGTGCTGGGATTACAGGCGTGAGCCACCACGCCTGGCCTGGTGCTTACTTTAGAATGTTTTTCTTTATATCGAAGTGCAGTTCACTTCCTAGAACCATCATCCTCTTCCCTGGAGCTTCTATCATCATTCACTTATGCATTCACGCATCTAGTCATCCATCCATCTATCCATCCATCCATCCATCCATCCATCCATCCACTCATTCATTCATCCCATTATTCAGTAGATATGAATTGGTATTTACTACATGTTAGGCACCATGCCAGGAGCTCAGGATACAATGGTAAGCACATTCAGACAGGGTCTCTGCCTTTCGGGGCTCAGTCCGGCTACCCCAACAGTCACTGAATAATACAATCTCCTGCTTGATTCGTGCTAGAAAGAAAATGAAGAGTGCTATGAGACCATACAACCTGGGAGCTGCCCCTGGTCTGAAACTATCAGGACTCTTATTTGCTGAAAGACAGAGGATGGCCTGGAGCTGACAGGTACAAGGCAGCAGCACTTTCTACTCTGTGACCTCCTCATCCTTCTCTCTTCTAGACTGACCCTCCTTTTGTTCCTCCTGCCACCATTCTTTCCAGGGGCCTGTAAAATGCTCAAGGAGGATGATACCCTCCACACACAGTCTGACTTCCTTTCCAATGAAAGCCAAGCTTGCATCTGATTTTTTGGCAGCAACGTTCTCTTGTTTGTGTTGAAATTGTGACACTATGTCTATATTTTCCACTGGACCAGAAATTTCATCTAAGAAAATAAATAAGTAAGAAAATGCATGCAGTTAAGCAAGACTCTCATAGTGGCCCCAGAATTGATCTTGGGGATCACTCCTCTTTTTCCTGAGGGATTTGCCCTCTGCCAATTGATCTAAGATTGTCACCAGCACCAGGGCAGAGCTGAGTTCCTGGGTCAAACCTGTCCTTCCAGCTAGAATTCCAGAGGAAACCCTAGTCCCTGTTGGAGTGCTTTCTTTTGGCACCAGGGCCTCCTGACACTAATAATTAGCTTCTTGCTTCTTTGATGAACCCACAGGAATGGCCAGGTCTTTGCAAACTGCTTCTCTTAACATCCCTCAGCTGCTCCCAGAAAGGCTGGGATTCTTATCTTACTGATGAGGAAAGCGGGACTCAGAAAGGTGAAGGTGATAGAGCTGAGACCTCAAGTCAAGCCTCCCAGAGCCAACACCATTTCCATGATACACACACCTCACTTGAATTACATTATTATGACGAAACTCCCTGAATGTCTAAATAGCCACCATCTACTGAACACCTATCACATGCTCTCTCTACCTTGCCCATTTATTCCCTCTCTACTTAGTGTCCCAAAGACACCTCAAACGTAGCATGTTCAGAAGAGAAATGTAACATGTCATTGGTTTTGTGTCCCCACCCTGCTCTTCCCTTTGGCTTCCCAATCTTGGGAAATGGTGCAACCGTTCACCCATAGACTCAGGCGCCAATGCTCGGAGTCAACCTGGAAGGAGGCAGAGAAAGAGGAAGAACAAGAAAACATGGATGGATGGATGGATGGATGGATGGATGGATGGATGGATGGACGGACAGATGATGAATAAATGAATTATGATAGAAGCTCCAGGGAAGAGGATGATGGTTCTGGGAAGTTAACTGCACTTCAATATAAAGAAGAGCATTCCTTGGATAAGCACAGACTGACAAGAAGGAGAAGGAGAAGGAGAAGGAGAAGGAGGAGAAGGAGAAGGAGAAGGAGAAGGAGAAGGAGAAGGAGGAGAAGGAGAAGGAGAAGAAGGAGAAGGAGAAGGAGAAGGAGAAGGAGGAGAAGGAGAAGGAGGAGGAGGAGAAGGAGAAGGAGAAGGAGAACATTCTAAATTTACCAGGCCAGGTATGGTGGCTCACGTCTGTAATCCCAGCACTTTGGGAGGCAAAGGCAGGCGGATAACCTGAGCTCAGGAGTTCAAGACCAACCTGGCAAACATGGTGAAACACTGTCTCTACTTAAAAATAACAAAAATTAGCTGGGTGCGGTGGTGTGTGCACCTGTAGTCCCAGTTACTCAGGAGGCTGAGGCAGGAGAATCACTTGAACCCTGGAGGTGGAGGTTGCAGTGAGCCATGATCCAGCCACTGCACTCCAGCCTGGGCAACAGGGTGAGATTCCATTAAAAAAAAAAAATGAAAAACAACAAACAAACAAACAAAAAAACAGCAGGAGAGAGAGGAAGAGAAGAAGGAAGAGAAAGAAAGGAGAGAGGGAAGAGGGATGGTGGAGAGGATAGAGGAAGGAAGAGAGGAAGAAAGGATAAAGGAGGAGAAGAGAGAAAGAAAATGAGGAAAAAAGAAGGAAAGGGAGGCTGGGCATGGTGGCTCACACCTGTAATCCCAGCACCTTGAGAGGCCGAGGCAGGCGGATCATGAGGTCAGGAGTTCGAGACCAGCCTGGCCAACATGATGAAATCCCGTCTCTTCTAAAAATACAAAAAATAGCTGGGCATGGTGGCAGGCTCCTATAATCCCAGCTATTTGGGAGGCTGAGGCAGGAGAATCGTTTGAACCCAGGAGATGGATGTTGCAGTGAGCCAAGATTGTACCATTGCACTCCAGCCTGGGAGACAGGGCAAGACTCCATCTTAAAAAAAAAAAGAAAGAAGAAGAAAAGAAAAGAAAAGAAAAAAAGAAGGAAAGTGAGAGAGGAAGGAAGGGGAAGAAATAGGGAGGGAGGAGGAAGAAAGGAAAGGAGAAGGAGGGAAGAAAGAAGGGAGAAGAAAGGATGGAGGAGAAAAAGAAGTGAGGAACAGAAAAGGGGGCTTTGACTGCAGGAAAGCACAGGTAAAGGCTCATGTGTATAATCCTTTTTAGCCTGTGTAAGTCAATATCCTAAAACAACACTTTGTGCCTTGTTCTAAATAGTACCAGATTCACTGTCATTCACAGAGTCACAAAACCATGAACTTCCCTAAAACAACCATTTTCAGAACAGGAATTTGGGCCACCCTGCAATGGTATCAAATTTTCCCAAAAGCAAGATACTAGATCCAGTCCCTGAGCCTAAGAAGCCTAAAATCTCATCTGGATGATAAGGTTCATATCCAATAGTCATAATACAAGGCAGAAATGGACAAAGACCAAAAGACCTTTCCAGAAGGAAGGTCACGGTGGCCCACAGAAGTGAGGAGTAATTCCTGCCAGGCATTTGGAAAGAAGGTGGCATCTGGCCAGGACCTTTGAAAGAAATGTGGAAAGGAGGCCTAGTGTGTGCTGGGCAGCCGCCTCATCAGTCACTGGATCCTATCCAGTGCGGGATACCTGTTCTACAGATGCTGAAACCAGGGTTCAGGGTAAGGGAGGCAATCAAGTAACTTGCCCAAGCTCATGCATGCAAGGAACACGGAAGCCCCACTCTAATGGAGATTTAAATTCAGGTCTAATGTGAGAATCCAAGTGGCCATGTGTGATGTGTCTGGACCACATGTTGTGAAATGCACTCAGCCTCTCCCAGGAAGGTTACTCAGAGGCTTTCTTCACAAGCACGCTCCCCACGACCTCCTCCCTTTCACCTGCACCACATCTGTCTCCCATTCAAGACTGGCAGCCCCAGCCAGGCACAGTGGCTCATGCCTGTAATCCCAGTATTTTGGGAGGCCAAGGCAGGAGGATCCCTTGAGGTCAGGAGTTTGAGACCAGAAGACAACACAACGAGTCCCTATCTATACAAAATAAAACAAAACTTAGCCGGGCAAGGCCATGTGTGCCTACAGTTCCAGCTATTCAGGAGCCTGAAGTGGGAGGATTATTTGAGACCGGAGGAAGAGGCTGTAGTGAGCTGTGATTGTGCCACTGCACTCCAGCCTGGGAAATAGAGCAACACTGTCTCAAAAATAAAAAACAAAAACAAGTGGCAGCCCCTTGAGGAAGGGAGAGTTCCTATCTTGACAATTTCAGTCAATGCCTGTGAGTACCAGCAGGAGCCTCTATCCCTCTCTGCCCCACTCTGCATCCACGCATTCATTACTTCATTCATCCCCCCCTCATTTTCTCAACACTCACTTCGTGCCAGGCCCTGAGGTGGCCTGAGGATCGAGAGACAGGGATCACAGAGCTCCCCAGTGGAGTGGAGGGTACAGACATGTCGACAAGAACACTGGGGCCCAGTGCAGGCTGGGGGCGTGTGGTCAGACCTGCAAAGCAGGGAGGAGAAGGGGGTCGGAGAAGCTTCGCGGGAAGAATGGGGGTGAGGCCTGAACCCTGTCTCGGAAAGCAGGGAGGCAGGTGGGAGAGTGGAAAAGACATTCCTGGAGGAGGGAACCGAAGGTGCCAAGTATGCAGAGGCAGAGATCCTGCCAAGGGAGAAGAAAGTCAGCGAGAATGACCCCAGGACAGGATGAGAATAAAGGAGGGGATCAAAGGAAACGGGCCCTCGGGGGTCGGATGCTAGAAGGCCCTGAGTGCCAGGAGAGGGAGTGTGGCCTCCATCATGGGGTCAGTAGGGCCACTGCATGGCTTTAAGCCAGGGAAGGACTGGAGAGATTTCTGTAACTGTAGCTGTAATGATGGAAGCATCTGGGAGAGAGAGAGGAAAGAAGGGCAGACGGGAAAGCAAGGAAAGATGCACAGAGATCAAGGCAGAAAAGGCTGAAGGGAAGACGGCAGCGGTGGGAAATGCGCAGAGCCGCCTCAGGATGCAGCCAGCGGGCGAGGAGGCTGAGAACCGCTCGCCCGGTGCCTGGACTCACCGCGCAGCCAGCCGGCGCCGGCGTGCGTGTCCTTGAGGCGGAAGAGGCGGCGGTGCGCGGAGCTGCGGCCCACGTACCACAGCATCCACAGCAGCTGCAGCAGCATGAGCGCCGTCAGGAAGCACAGCAGGTCGCTCTTGCCCACGCCCGCGGCGTGCACCGCCCAGGCCAGCAGCAGCAGCAGCCCCGCCACGAACACGATCAACCCATACTGGCTACTCAGCGTCTCGGCCAGCTTCTGTGGGACGCTGGCGCGCACACCGCCCCGCCGGGGGACCGGGGACTCCGGGGACCTCGGGGCCGAGGGGGAGGGAGGCGAGCAGGCCGCGGGCCCCGACGACCCCGCGACCGAGGTGCTCGCAGCTGCCGGTGGCGAGGCGGGCAACCCCAGGCCCTCGAGCATCTTGGAGACACCCGCGCCAAGTCTGGTCCCGGGGGTGGCTGCCGTCGGGCTCCACCTGCACTCCTGGCTCCTGTCCTTGCCCCGACGCCTCTGCCAACCACCACCCCCCTTTTCACCTCCCCTCCTGTTCCTACCCCACGCCTCTGCCAACCTGCTCCCTCTCCTGTCACCTCCCGACGCCCTCCCTCGCCTCTTCTACCCCTTCGTCCTCCGTCAAGGTACCACCCTGTCCACTTACCCAGCGCCCCACCCCGCTGACCCAGGATTCTACGAGCTCCCCTGCCCACTGCCTCTCACTGGGCAACGCCCCGGGCAACCCCCTGCCCGCTCCAGGACCCACGCGGACAGCTCCCCGCTCCCGATCCCTGGGACACAGGCCAGCACTGCCGCGACACTTGTGCGTCCTCCCGCACCTCCCCCCGCGCGCCCGGCCCCTGCCCGCTGTCTGCAGCCCTCACCCCTGCGCCGACGCCCGCCCACCCTGCCCCTGTCCGGGCGACCCGGAAACGCTGGGTGACTAGAGGTGCCTCCCGGGGTCGCGGGGTTGCGGGGCTGGGGAGAGGGGGTCTCCTGGAGCCAGCCCGAGGGGGTGTGAGCGGGGGTGGGGGTGGCTGTTGCCAAGTGGGGTGCCCGGGGCTCCACAGGGGCGTGCGATGCTCCGGGCTTTCCCAGAGGGTCTCCGTTGGGGAACCCAGAGGTCCAGGTGTTCCTGCCTGGGTCCGTGTCCGAGCGTCCTTCGGTCTGTCCTCGTCCCTGCGTATTTCTGTATTGTCTTCTCTGTGCGGGTCACTCTGGCCGTCTGTCTTCGGGTGTGTCTGGTTAGGGGTGGAGGAACGCCCGTCACTGGCTCTCTGAATTGGGGGAGGGGCCGCCTTCTGTGGGTTTTTCTGTTTGTCCGTCTGGTGTGCCTGTGTGTTGGCTGCGAGATGCCCCCAAGCGGAATAAGACCTGAGCCACTTCCTAAGAAGAGACCATCCCGTACCCTCTCCCAAAGGAGCGGCAGCCATTCTGGACCGAGAGGAGCTGGAATGGGGGCGCCCCGGAGTCTGCCCTGGGGCTACCCGCGTCCAAGTCTCTCCACCAACCCCTTCCAAAGCCCCGGTGCCCGCCTGGCACCCGCCTGCTCCCGGAAGGCGACTGTGTCTGCCAGGGCTTCCCGCTGGGTTGCCGCTAAGTGGAGGTCTGGGAAGTTTCTGCAGAAGAGCATCCTACGGGTCGGGCGTGGCTGACAGGAGGCGCCGGACCCCAGCCGCAGGTTGGAGAGCGGAGTTGAGAGCCAGGCGAGGGCGAGTCCACATCCCACCGTGCAGCAGCCCAGGGCTGGGCCCCCGAAGACAACCCTTTCCCTCTTGGTTTAAGGCTCTTGACGTCTTGAAATTCTTAATTTTTGAACAAGAGGGCCCATATTTTTGTTTTGCGCTGAGTGCAGCAAATTGCAATAGCAGGTCCTGACTAGGTGGGTAGCCCTGGGCCGGCAAGGAGTCAACCTGGGGGACCTTGCCTTGCCACCATCATTCTTCCAATTCATGCATTCATTCATTTGATCAACACATATTTATGTGTTGACTTATGAATCATTTGCTGGTCTCTGTTCTAGGTGCTGGGGTTTCAGCTATGAAAGGCTCTGCTCAGGTGGAGCTGATGTTCAGGCAGAGAAACAGCAATAGACAAACAGCTAATGAGCCCTCACTGGGAAGCTGGGGAGCACGACCTGTGAGACTTAGCCCTCAACTTCTAGGAGCTTGGGGGTGGAGACAGAGTAAGCAGCACAGCACCCTTAAGCAGGGCTAGAAGAGGGGCCTGGGGGGAACCCAGGTCTGCAGGAAGGCTGAGAGGTTCAGGGAGGAGGCAACACCTGCACAGTCTTCTTTCTTTCTTTATTTTGTTTTTAATAGAGACAGGGTCTCCCTATGTCTCCTAGGCTGGAATGAAGTGGTGTGATTATAGCTCACTACAGCCTGGAACTCTGGGGCTCAAGTGCTCCTCCCACCTCAACCTCCCGAATAGCTAAGACTACAGGTGTGTGCTACCACGCCTGGCTCTGTTTTTTGTGTGTTTGTTTGTTGTTTTTTGTAGAGACAGCGGTCCCGCTATGTTGTTCAGGTTGATCTCAAACTCCTGGGCTCAAGCCATCCTCCCACCTCAGCCTCCCAAAGCATTGGGATTACAGGCCCAAGCTACCAGTCTGGCCTCCTGTACTAGGCACCCTCCACGTTCTCCCCTCCTCTTCCTACCAATGGATGCCCACACCAACAGCTAGAGCAACCTGGGGGCCTGAGCTGAAGATGGAAGAGGCAGTCTGCCTGTCTCCCCAGTGACTGGTGCGGCAGCTTCCTCTCCCGAAGCTGGACCTTACACAAGTGAGAAATAAACTTCCATTGTACTAAGCCACCACAAGTCTGAAATGTTCCAGTAGCTAGCAGTACCTTAACCCGCTGCGTACAAAGATAAATAACACTCAGTCACCATCTGAAAATCAGGTGGAATGCCTGTCTCTGGGCTACCTGCACTTTTTTTTTTTTCGAGATGGAGTCTCACTGTGTCACCCAGGCTGGCGTGCAGTGGCACTATCTTGGCTCACTGCAACCTCTGCCTTCCAAGTTCAAGCGATTCTCCTCCCTCAGCCTCCTGAGTAGCCGGGATTACAGGCATCTGCCACCATGCCCAGCTAATTTCTGTATTTTTAGTATACCATGCTGGCTAGGCTGGTCTCAACTCCTGACCTTGTGATCCACCTGCCTTGGCCTCCCAAAGTTCTGGGTTTACAGGCGTGAGCCACCGCGCCTGGCCTGCATTTTTTTTTAAGAAGCAATGAAATGAAAGTTTCTGGAGGCTAAAATCAGCCCCCTTTATTGTAATCTCAAGACAATGTTAAAACTAACTGAGAGCCTGTAATCCTAGCACTTTGGGAGGTCGAGGCAGATCACTTGAGGTCAGGAGTCCAAGACTAGCCTGGCCAACATGGTGAAACCCCGTCTCTACTAAAAATACAAAAAATAGCCAGTGTGGTGGTGCGCACCTGTAATCCCAGCTACTTGGGAGGCTGAGGCAGGAGAATCGCTTGAACCCAGGAGACAGAGGTTGCAGTGAGCCAAGATTGTGCCACTGGACTACAGCCTGGATGACAGAGCGAGACTCCATCTCAATACATACATACATACATACATACATACATACATACATACATAAATCAGAGATTTACCCACACTGTGTTCTGCCTTCCACTGGTGAGATTTTTTTTCAAAAATCTGAGCCACACAGGGCCCCCAATTTCTTATGACTGACCCCTGCTCTGTGGTGGACAGATACAAGGGGTCAGAAATGATGCTCTGGTGGCACCCAGGCCTTAGGTTTTCACCACATTTGGCGCATCTTACCCCTGCCCACACTGTGTCCTGAGAACTGTGTGGCATGGCTCAATCAGTGTAAAACCTGGAAACGTCCTGACCAGGCAGCTGCCTCCCAATGATGATTCAGTACCACGCAGATGGACAGGCAGACATGCTGCCCTCAGACATGGGCTCCCTTCTTTTTTTATTTTTTTTAAATACTTTAAGTTCTAGGGTACATGTGCACAATGTGCAGATTTGTTACGTATGTATACATGTGCCATGCTGGTGTGCTGCACCCAGTAACTCATCATCTACATTAGGTATTTCTCTTAATGCCATCCCTCCCCTGTCCCCCTACCCCACAAGAGGCCCCAGTGTGTGATATTCCCCACTCTGTGTCCAAGTGTTCTCATTGTTCAATTCCCACCTATGAGTGAGAACATGCGGTGTTTGGTTTTCTGTCCTTGTGATAGTTTGCTCAGAATGATGGTTGCCAGCTTCATCCATGGCCCTCCAAAGGACATGAACTCATCCTTTTTTATGGCTGCATAGTATTCCATGGTGTATATGTGCCACATTTTCTTAATCCAGTCTATCATTGATGGACATTTGGGTTAGTTCTAAGTCTTTGCTATTTTGAATAGTGCTGCAATAATCATACATGTGCAGGTGTCTTTATAGTAGCATGATTTATAATCCTTTATATCCAGGATTGAGATCGCTGGGTCAAATGGTATTTCTAGTTCTAGATCCTTGAGGAATCGCTACACTGTCTTCCACAATGGTTGAACTAGTTTACAGTCCCACCAACAGTGTAAAAGCGTTCCTATTTCTCCACGTCCTCTCCAGCACCTGTTGTTTTCTGACTTTTTAAAGATTGCATGAGCTCCCTTCTTCCAGTGAAGATGATGGGATTTCACAAGGCCAGAGACCCCCGGCACACTCAGCTACCAGAGATAATAGAAGGTCTCAAGGGGCAATTAGAACATTTTGCCCCCAGTCACCTTTGGTGGTAGCTATGTAATCCCAGTATTTTTAAGAACAAAAGAGTTAGTGTATCCGTTTCTTTTCTTTCTTTTTTTTTTTTTGAGACAGAGTCTCACTCTATCGCCTAGGCTGGAGTGCAGTGGCGTGATCGTGGCTCACTGCAACCTCTGCCTCCTGGATTCAAGTGATTCTCCTGCCTCAGTCTCCCAAGTAGCTGGGATTACAGGTGCACACCACCATGCCTGGCTAATTTTTTGTATTTTTAGTAGAGATGGGGGTTTCACCATGCTGGCCAGGCTGGTCTCGAACTCCTGATCTCGTGATCCACCCACCTCGGCCTCCCAAAGTCCTGGGATTACAGGCCTGAGCCACCAAGCACAGCCAAGTGTATTCATTTCTTAGGATGGGTGTAACAAAGTGCCACTAACTGGGTGGTTTTAAAACAATGAAAATTTATTCTCTCACAGTTTGGGAGGCCAGAAGTTCAAAATCTAGATGTCAGAAGAGCCAAGTTCCCTCTGAAGGCTCCAGCAGCGCTGGCCTCTTCCAGTTTCTGCTGGTTGCTGGCAACCCTTAGCATTCCTTGCCTTGTGGCTGTATCACTCCAATCTTTGCCTCTGTTGTCATTTAACCATCTTTCCTCTGTATCTGTGTCTCTTTTCCTCTTCTTATAAAGACACCAATCATAATGGGTTAAGGGCCCACCCTATTCCAGTATGACTTCATTGTAATTTACAACT